TGGTCTAGCCGTTGCCCCCAGCTCAGGGTCAAGTGATCTCGGCTCGGAGTTCAAGCCCCGCTGCGTCGGTTTCAGGTGTTGACAGCCTTGAGCCTGGAGCCTGTCTTAGATCTTGTGTCCCTCTCTCGACCTCCCCATCATGCTCTGTCTCTCTCTGTCTCAAAAATAAATAAACATTAAAAAAAAAATTAAAAAAAAAAAAGAAGTAGGCAGTCCTCAAGAAATGTTCACTGAACTCAACTGCTGAAATTATAACAGTTAAAATATCAACATAACATATCAACAAATAAATAGGCCTTTGGAAGACTGGGAAATCAAAACACTTTCAGTTTATACACTTTCACAAACACATGAAAATGCTCTAGTTTATGCTAAATGCCCCAGCCCTTCTGAGTGCTATACAAAGAAGCAATTAAAAGGATAAATTTCCTTAGTTCATAAAATATGAAAAGCAGTCCAAAAAGAGACAAGCTAAATTTTAGCTCTACTCAGTCTTATTATATGGTATATAGCAACTTAGTAATTAACAGTACCACATAATTGTTTTATTCACATTCTGTAGTCAGGCCTGCTTTTAAAGTTAAGTCACTGAAAACATTTTCAGTCTGTAATTAAATTTAAATCATCAAATTGGCTTCTACATTTTAAAGTCTGTTAATTTAACAAAGATGGCTAAAAGTTAATATTGGAGAAAAAGACTTTCATTTCAGGATACAAGCAATGAAAGATCATTAAAAAGGCATGTAATAGGGGTGCCTGGGTGGCTTAGTTGGTTAAGCATCCGACTTCGGCTCAGGTCATGATCTCACGGTCTGTGAGTTTCCTCAAAAACAAGACACGAAGTTATAAATTTTAAAAAGTCCTATTCATTTGTTAACCTCCTAAAACCAAGCAATCCTCTTTTATGTATAAAGAGCTCAATATAACCCTTCCTTATCTAAAAGTGACACTGTTCGCCTGTAACCTAGTGCTTCCTTGTTTATCTTCCAAAATCTCTGGAGATTTAATGCATCCTGTGAGAACCAACCAACCATGGTAATTTAAGCCAAGTACAAATGTTTATGAAAATTCAGCACTGTTACTTAGGAAACGTGCCACTGAAGTAGGAGGGTATAGAAAGAGCTTAGTTCCAAAAGGAAAATCTATGTTATGAAGGAAGCAATCTCCTAAATTCAAATGGCATAATGAATACTGGTGATAACTGGTTCCTCTGGAATGAGATTTTGACTTCGGCGTTTATGTATGTATTTATTTATACTTTTTAGTGTAATGTGGCTCAATTAACTCACTGGTATATAAAAAACAGAAAGGGATTTAAAGAATCTGAATTATACTAAATACTATTAAAGTAAAATAATATAAAATGTCAAGGTAAGATCTAGGACTAAAAAAAAAAAAAACCCGAAACACCAGGGGCGCCTGGGTGGCTCAGTCAGTTAAGCATCCAACACTTGATTTCGGCTCAGGTCATGAACTCACGGTTCATGGGTTTGAGCCCCATGTCAGGCTCTGTGCTGTCATAGAGCCTGCTTGGGATTCTCTCTCTCTCTCTCTCTCTCTCAAAATAAATAAACTTTATAAACAACAACAACAACAAACACCATCCTTCTGGATAGACTCTAGAGAATCAGTTCTCAACCTCTTCTGATGTGATAAATCCATGACATGTTCCAATGAATAAATCCGTATTCTGATCAGAGTTTTCAAAAATTGGAAGGAAAATACAGTATTACACTCAGATGGGACGCAAATCTCAGTGGCACATCAGCATTAGTTCCACACTGTGGCTTATGGCAGATAGTGCTGGTGCAGACTACACCTTCACCCCAGCTGCAACACCACACCTCGTTCCCGTTCTCTCATGTGAGAATACTTATCGGAGCGCAAGTCAATCAGTAACAATGGGATCGTTAACCTGAAATTTTCTCTGATTTGTTTTTAAAAAGTAAACCAATCACAAACAAAACACAAAATACTTTGTATGAATAACAATGAACTTGTGGCACTTCACAAAAAACAAGAGAATACTAGTGTGTTGGGTTACCTGTTAAAGTTATCGTGGCTTTAGAAGATAAAACTGTGCTCCTTAGAGTACAAGGCTTATAAAAGGAATTTAAAACCTGTAGTTGGGAAATTTATTAAGTTGATAATGAGGAAACTAATTCCATCCATACAAACCGGTGATCTTGGATATACCCAAGTCTCAGCCTGAAGCCTCTGCTGATCCATCTCTCGTCTGTAATAGTCAGCACTATTTGCGGTTACAAATAATCAGACAAAGCATGTCGTGAAGATCCAGTTCTAAAAGCTGATGTGAAGAGCTGGAAGGCTAGCTTGCATAGAGGAGTCTTAAGGCACTGGGGTAGCTGTGTCTCAGAGCGAAGTAAATGCTAAAAGAAACAAACTTCTGAAGTTCCAGAACTCCAAACGAAGACAAACTGCCCATGCATTACAGCGGTCAGCGCCAGGGCACTGCCATCTAAACCCTTTTCTCCATGTTTTCAGTTCAAAGGCTGGAAGTTTTATCTTAGGAGAAGATTTGATGATATGATGGAAGTCAAAGACAAACATTCTATTTTACTGTTATATAGGACAAAGACTGGCAAACTTTTTAAAGTAAAGGGCCATTTTGTCGCAATGGAACTGGAGAGTGTTATGCTAAGTGAAATAAGTCACACAGAGAAAGACAGATACCATATGTTTTCACTCTTACGTGGATCCTGAGAAACTTAACAGAAGACCATGGGGGAGGGGAAGGAAAAAAAAAAGAGAGGGAGGAAGGCAAACCATAAGAGACTCTTAAAAACTGAGAACAAACTGAGGGCTGATGGGGGGGGGGGGGGGGGGGAGGGTGGGTGATGGGTATTGAGGAGGGCACCTGTTGGGATGAGCACTGGGTATTGTATGGAAACCAATTTGACAATAAACTTCATATATTGAAAAAAAAATAAGTAAAATAAAGGGCCAGGTAGTAAATATTTTAAGTTTTAGAGGTCACATGATCTGGTCTTGGTCTCTGATGCTTTTTTTCCCCCTATGATCCCTTAAAAATGTAAGGATTGGGGTGCCAGAGTGGCTCAGGTGGTTGAGCATCCAACTTCAGCTCAGGTCATGATCTCATGGCTCGTGAGTTCAAGCCCCGCGTCAGGCTCTGTGCTGACAGCTCAGAACCAGGGGCTTGCTTCAGATTCTGTGTCCCTCTCTCACTCTCCCCATCCCCCACTGGTGCTCTGTCTCTCTCCCTCTCAAGAATAAACAAATATTAAAAAAAAAAAAAGGTAAGGATTACTTTTAGCATGCTGGCCATATACAATCAGGTGCTTACCAAATGAGGCCATAGCTTGTAGTCCCTTGATATAGAAGAAAAGCAATTCTCAACTACTAACTGTCCCCAGAATTACACCTGTCTTTTTTTTTCAATTTTAAATAATCTCAGATCGAACAGGAACTTAGAGGTTCAAAGGACTGTAGGGATAAGTGATCTAACTTTCCAAGTGGGGACCTCAAGGCTCCTGGTCCTGAGTGACTTGCTTGTGGCAGAAGAGGCCAAACGCTTACTTTTCTCTTTCCCCTTATGTTTTTGGAATACACTCAACTTTGAGGAGTTCCTTTAAAACAAAGTACACTAGAGGTTTACTATATTCACAGCTTAAAGGATTTGTTTTACCAGGTACTTTTTTCACATTCTTTTACCATGTTCAAGAAACTCACACTAAGAACCAAGAAAAACTTAGAATACTTTTAAATTAATATTGAGAGAGCATGGGGCCTAAGAAGGCTTAGAATTCTGTCCCTTAAACTCAGTAAACTGGACAGGCTGACTTCTGAGCAGAAATCTGAATAGGGCTGCTGGGTAGAGGTGACCAGTTACATGACGCTGACACTCAAAGCAAATGGACATTGCTCCTTTCTCAGTAAGTCCCTCTAGAATATGCTACCAAGCAAACACTTCACAGGAAAAGTCTAACCCTATCTGTCTATATGTTTTCCTAGTACAGAAATACAGAATTAGGAATAGCACTTTAATGCCACTTCTCAGAGTTAATTATGTAAAAAAAAAAAAAAAATATTCATTTTCCTTCAAATGGTAAAACTGAAGCTTATTCTTTGTACTGAACTTCTAGTTGTTTCCCACAGCATTTCTGATTAAAATCCTGCTTTTACTATCAATGAAAAGATTCTCTAAGTCAACATAGATATAATCAGATGTTCAAAATGAACTTTTCCTAAATTTAGAATCTGAATTTAAAAATTTTAAATTTTAAAATAATTTTAAAATTATTTTACCATCCTATACCGAAAGAAAGAAAGAAAGAAAGAAAGAAAGAAAGAAAGAAAGAAAAAGAAAGAAAGAAAAAAAAATCTTTCATGGATCAATTCTAAATATAAAGTTTGAAATCCCCTGATCTTTTAAAATATAGCTCCACAACATATGAATTTATAAAATATTATCACTGATAAGCCATGGATCATCCAGATTAAGAAATGCCATCGCAAAAGAAATGGAAAAAGAAAAAGAAATGCCATTACAGGGGTGCCCAGCTAGCTCAGTCAGAGGAGCGTGCAACTCTTAATCTTGTGGCTTTGTGAGTTTGAGCCCCATGTCAGATGTAGAGATTACTTAAAATCTTAAAAAAAAAGAAAAGAAAAGAAAAGAGAAGAGAAGAGAAGAGAAGAGAAGAGAAGAGAAGAAAAGAAAAGAAAAGAAAAGAAAAGAAAAGAAATGCCATTACGTATCAGCTCAAACTCAACAACCACATGAGATCAAGAGTTGAACACTCCTCCGAATGAGCCAGCCAGGCGCCCCTGAAAATTTTTCATTTTAGATATGAGGTAATGTGTTTTCTCTGCATCATGGATCATGGCCTCCCTCTTCAGGTAAGAGGAATTTGATTCCCTTAAGACTAAAAATTAAGCATGCCCTCCTCCATTATTAAAAAAGATTCAAGAAAAAAATCAGTACTTCTTAATGATCCATAAGTGGCTCCTAGGTCTTCCTTTTATTCTACTGTATTTAAAAATTCTTCTTCTTGAAGTTGCAATTTAAAGTCCTCCTTGATTCTCTCCAGCAACTCTGGTTTAAAAATAACATCCAACGCAGTCATTGCCAGAGCTTTGGCCGTACGCAAAGTGTAGAACTGAGCTTCTTGTGACCCTAAAAGGTGGAGAAAATAAATGAAGAAACCACCCTATTTATGATAAACTTATACACTGGTTTTCAGGTTAGCTCTCGATATCTAAACCACCTCTTGAAATGCCCACCAGAATACAGTATTTTCTGAGGTAAAGTTAGCTAATGAAAAAACATGGAGCTATTACCACAAAAAGAGAACATATGTCCACACATTCACTTCTAGTAACACATACCTGCAGCTTCAGTATATTGTTCTGTATGATTCAAGGCATTAGATCCAATGTAAAAATATGGATGAATCCCAGGAACCACAAAAGTAACATTTCCAAAATCAGTAGATCCTTAGAAAAGTAAGACAATCCATGGGTTTCTAATTGTTAGTCCAATAGATGCCAGACTGTACGTATCCAATCTCTATAGCACCAGACATGATTTGCCACTCCTTTCCTTCTAGAAATTCTCTACTCCTTTGGCTTCCATGACTTGACTTCTCCTGATTGTCTGGCCTTTTCTCTGGTCACTATCTGTCTCCTCTAAATTGCTTCCTTTACCTGTCTCCTAAGTGCTGGCAATCACCAGCACACCAAATACTCCTGTGTTTTCAGTTACTTTTCAGATATTGCCAACTCCTACATCTCCAACCTAGGCATCATTTGGGGGTTCCACAGTCTACTGAACAGTTCCCCTTAGAAATCCTGTACGCACATCAAACTTAACATACTAATAATATATACCAACATAGCATACCCCAACCTGCTTTCTCTTGAACTCCTTATCTCAGTAAATGACATCAACACCCCATTTCTATGGCCAAGTCTTTTTGAGTCCACTTCATCAGCATTTATTGTTATATTTTAGTAGATACATCTCTAACATGGAAACATATTAGAAATGATCCTTTTAAAAAGGAAAAACTCTAAAATAGTCCTCAATATAATTATTTAAATTCTAAGTTGTTTACTAAACAACTAGTAGTAAACAACCATAATAATTACTCCTCAGCAACTGGCATGCCTCCTTATAACTACTTGCTAGCCTTACTGAGGACTGACAATGAATTAAAATTCTATTTCTCCTTTAAGTAGCTTACTTTAAAATTAGAACTAAGCAAATTTAAACACTAGAACTATTTAGAATACAAAGGAAATAGTACGCTATTTCTAAAAACAAATCTGCTCATTTAACACTTTACATTCACTGAAGAGTTCTTTAGTTTCGTTCCCCTAACCATTAAGTTTGTGAAAAATATTGTTAAGAGCAATACCTCCCTACCTCCAAAGCTGTCGAACAAAACCCTCTAACCAAAGATGGTATTTTCCTTCCTCAAACAGTGCAATATAGTATATATGAAAGAACCTGATTACCTGAAGGGCCATTCAACATTGCATCTTCTGAAATAAATTCTATTCCCAGTTTTTTTCCATTTTCAATATAAGCTTTCCATAGGCTCTTATTGGGAAGAACATTGTAATAATCATGTGCTCCACCTTTAATTTCTACCTAAAAAAAATCGTAAGACAAATTCTGAAATAAAAAACTCAAATTCACTATCTAATTTTCAAATCAGCAAGAGGTTTAAGAGGGTACACTTTCCCTTACAGATATAAATTCTCTTAAATATTTTACCTTAAAAAAATCGGTAATAAGACTTCCCTCAGGCCCTATCCCCTTCATGTTACATATGCACCAAACAACATGATGTCACCTCACTCTCCCAGCAAGTCTCAACTTCGGTAACTTATATAGGGTGTGGGGGAAGCCCAGGAATCTCCATTTTAACCAGGACCCCCAAGTAATTCTGATGCAGGTGGTCTAAAGAGCAGACACTGAGGAACACTGCTCTAGACTGCAGCCTCTTAAAGAAAAAAATTAAGCTTTACTCATATTCAAAATATAAGCCAACACTGACACCAATAACTGGTCCAAAAGATATAAAGGTACCTAGGAGAGACAGGTTTATGATGAAGAAGGGTTGGCTACGGTCCTCATTTATTATTTATTTATTTTTAAAAGTAATCTCTACACCCAACGTGGGGCTCGAACTCACAACCCTGAGATCAAGAGTTGCATGCTCTACCGACTGAGCCATCAGGAACCCCATGTCCTCATTTATTAACTTCAGCGTTTCAGTGTGTCAAGAATTATAAGCAGTTTATAGGTATACAGTTAAGAGGATTTATAGATTTAGTTTTGATTAAATCAAAATGGATAATAGTTCCACAAACTAAAGGCAATAGCCATAGCATTAGTAAAAGTCAATTATAAAATGGCAGAGCTGACATTTCTTCTACTCTTAGCAACATCTAAGCTAGAAATAATGACAACCGGGGCATCTAGGTGACTCATTTGGTTGAGTCTGACTCAAAATAAACTTAAAAAAAGAAAGAGAGAGAGAGAGAGAGAGAGAGAAAGAAAGAAAGAAAGAAAGAAAGAAAGAACATACTTATAATATATAATAGTCATTCATGTATTACAAGTCAGCCAAAATATAAAAAGTTATTAAGAGACTATTTAAAATATAGATTAAAATCCAGTAACAATGAACCTTATCCTAAGGGAATATTATGCCTTGAGATTCGGAGTTAACGGTAATAGTTCATGTGTTTATTCTATCAATATTTATATTTATAATTATAAATAAGGGATAAAGGATTGGCTCTGTAGCTCAGGGGTTAGAACACTGGTCTCATAAATAAGGGACAAAGGATTAATTTTTTACTCTCTGGACACTTACCATATATGCTGAGAATCACTAGTACTGTGAGACACTATTACTATGTGAACAAATCATACATCTGAGAGCAGAAACAAATAAGTTGTAAGTATGAGGTCTAGGCCCTAACTCTTAACAAATATTCTCTCATTTAATTTTCACAAGAACATAAAGTATATTATTATCTCCCTTTTTCAAGAGAAAATGGAGGCCCAAAGTTATTAAATGGTGTTTTCTAAAGTTACCAAATCAGTAGGCTGAGAGGAACAGACCCAGATCCTGTCTCTCCCACTAGACTACAACCTCCGCCCAGGAAAAGACTGATGTAATTCTGAAACTTCTCGTTCTGCTGTATACCCTACGTGACTGGCACAGAAACGTCACTGACTTTATGGTTTAAATGAACAATATTTCTTCACTAACTTCTGCATCTATTTTAACTTTCATTCCAGCAAGCCATAAGTATTTATATCGTTACTGCACATATCTAATAATTTCACCCGAAACAGCTTTTGCTGATTTTGCCATAAAGTTCCCTTTATAGGAACTATACTGAGCAATTCTGAAAACACAACTGCCAATAAGGAAAGCTATATCTTGCAAAAAGGCAGGGAACTCAGCATTATCAAGAATTATTCTAATTACAGTGCAATAAGATGACTATAGTCCTTTCTATGTGGGCACTGAGTAAAACAAGTATGAATTAAAGACTTTCACATCACCCATTCACTCAACTGATCTTACATACTCTAAACATTGCCAAATGAAAAAGGGGCAAGTTAGGTTCTAATCTAATTTAATAATACTCTAACTTAACTCCAGCCCATATAGATATACCTCTGATTATAACTTATATTAACTCTTAAAAGTTCTTACTGTACACCCAGTAGCCAAAGCTGCAGCTCTGAAGCAATCTTCTGCCTTTTTGGTCAAAACTGGAAGTTCTTTCATTGAGGGTGCACGGAAGTAATAGATTAATTCAGAATAAGACGGAATGATATTGGGTTTTACACCACCACTTTTTATTATGCCTATAAAAAGAACCAAATTACTGAAATTGAGCTTGGAGACCATTTCTTTAAGTTTAAATACACCCATAGAATTTTCAATATGTACATGAAGAAAAACAATTTCAATTTATTAGCTTCACAGATATACCAATCAATGATTTTTGATGTGCTGTACAAAATTTTTTTCTTTTTTTTTTTTTTTTTTTTGTACAAAAGTTTCTATACATAGGGCAATGCTTTCTGGCTAAGAGATAAAAAATTGTCTATCCATACTTAATTCTAAGGAATTTAACGATGTTGAGAAATTATGTTGCATGATTATAAAGAAACTCTTAGAAACTTTTATAACAATCTTAAGACTTCTGAAAGAGTTTATTTCAGTAGGCTTAATAAAGTAGTAATAGTTGTACGTTTTGATAAACTTTTGACTTAAAAGAAAAAAAAATGGCACAAGGTTCTATAATTATCCTCGTATTTCCAGATTCCTATGAATATTTTCAATGGTATTTAGCTCTGGGAACATAATTTTTATACCAGCAAGAAACCGATGCAGGTCGAACATCACTAAGTGCTATTAACTGTCAAAACAAATACATTTATTTGGAACTACACTGAGAGGAAAGATTTATCCATTCAAAATAATAACTGAAATAGATACACAAAATCTAAATTTATTTGATCTGCTTTAAAAATTATTAATTATTTTTACATGTTTCTCTTAGAAAAACTAAGGTAGGACATTGGTCAAAGTGCAATTACAAACTAATTTAAGCCTATAACAAAATCAGGTAAAAAATAGATATTAAAGTATAACAGTTTCCCAAATCATAAGAAAATAACTAAAAAATAAATTCATACCTTTAAGATCATACTTTATTACTGTAGTTACATTAAGGTGATACACATAATTTAAAAAGATGTTACTCATTTTATCAGCACTTGAGAAAATAAAACCAGTAACCATAACTTTTTTAAATTGAGAAAATGATTTGTTACCATTAAAAAACAGTGAGGATAACTGGAAAATCAAGATCCAACTTTCAAATACCCACAGAAAACATGTACATCCTTACATAAAACATTATCTCTAATACTCAAAATGACCATTCCATTTATACATAAATACTTTTTTAATTGTTTTCTTAGCCAACACATACAAACATACTAGTATCCTGTCACATGAATTTTGGAAACTGTTTAAAAAGTTCGGAATATTCATATAAAGTATATAAAATGTTTACAATTTTTAAAAATCAAATGTTAATTACATGGCACTGAAATATATTAAGCACCATCCATTACACAACATACTTGACATTCGTACCATGAACTCTCCAGGTTGGTTTCATTTGCTGTCTCAACACAGACAGATTGTTGTAGGCGAGAACAGCAGCATCTAATGCATTTACTCCTTCCCAGGGATATGCAGCAGCATGAGACGCTTTTCCATAGTATTTCACAATCACACTAGGAAACAAAACATCATTTGGAATTACTCTTTTCAAAGTCACTAAAGAAAATCCAGGTACCGTAATTAGAATTACCCAACAAGTATTCAGAATTAAGTAACACTGCTGGAATTTTTATTTGCAAATCATTTGTAGAAATAACACAGCAATTTATATACCTTAGTTGTAGTTTACTATTATGTAATACAGTGACTGACACAAAGAAAGCATTCCAAAAAAGAGAAAAGAGAGAGAGAGAGAGAGAGAGAGAGAGAGAGAATTTTGTTCAACCAACTCCCAATAGAAATTTAATTTGTACACAACTCAATTCAAACAAACATGCAATTCTGTATTAGGCACTGGAATTACAAAAAGAGGGCTCCTGTCTCCTTCTACACTGCATAGTAATAACTCTATATAAAATGTCTGCGAAACTCAGATAATTCTATCTTAAGTGGGGGAGGGCAGGTGAAGGAAAACAGAAATAGGTGACAATCTGAAATGAATTAAGACAACCTCTGAATACCAGATTACACTCACAATATCCTAAGATATTCTAGCATTAAGTCAGTTGTTCCTGACCAACATTTTATTAGTGTTCCAAAACACCTGCATCACTAATATCTCAAAATTTTATCAGTTATGTTACTGCACTTCCAAATAGTTCTCATACCAATTTAACTACTCAGATACAATAAAAAATAAGGGTTAAAGAAAGGATTGCATATTAAATAGTTATTTATAAAGATGACTTGTATAGGCAACACTTTTTTTTTTTTTTTT